CTCTCTCTCTCTCTCTCTCTCTCTCTCTCTCTCTCTGCCGTTGTCTTCCTGTTGACAAGCCGGTGGAGATCCATGCCAGCGCTGAGATGCTTCCACCGTCATTGGATCCACAAGATTTTGCACCCACCAGCCTGCGATCTTCCTGTGTTTTGCATCATTGCCTGTGACTGTGAGTTTGAAGAAGGATTTTTGGACTAGTATTGGACTTATGGGCTAATAACAGACGTATGGACTTGATCTGGACTGGGCTGGGATGTTTTCTTAATATACAATTACTCTTTGATATAAAGGTCTTTTGTATTCATATATGAGTGTCTCTGGATTTGTTTCTCTAGTCAACCTGGCCTAACACAGGAGGTAGCATCTTTTCATCAGAGACACACTAGAAAGCCTCCTCTCTCTCTTGTCCTTCACCCTCCTGTGTGCTTGGATTCTGTGTCTGCCTCCGGACAGCCCCCTCATATTTTAGTGATATAAAATGACTTCTTGATATAAAGTCTACTCTTTTACATCTATGAGTATGGCTGGTTTTGTTTCTCTGGACACAGCAAGGAAGCAAGGAAGTACACAGAGGTGGGGGGAGAGAGCTGCTCAAGCCAAATGAAGATCTCCCCAAAGCAGAAGCTCACGAGACAAGGAACTTCCTCCAGAGCCAACACACAGAGAGAAAAGTCTGCACCCAGGCTTTTAGCCTCCTACATTGTGAGAAAATAGATTTCTGTTTGTGAAAGGCACCCACTTGTGGTATTTCCGTTACTACAGCACTAGATAACAAAGACAGCCCAGCTATAGGCTAGAAAACTGTATGCAGAGTTTGACAACTGTTTAAAAGAAGAAGAAGAAGAAGAAGAAGAAGAAGGAGGAAGAGGAGGAGGAGGAGGAGGAGGAGGAGGAGGAGGAGGAATGCAGGGATGGGAAGGCAATGAAATGTAAGCTTGGAGTTAGGGAGATCTGGGTTCAGATATTCACTCTGCCACTTCCTAACGCCTTCCCTGCGCCTTAACCCCCGCCTGCCAATGGTGATCAGTTCACGGGGTTGTGGTGAGAAGTTTTAAAAACTGTGATGCATGTAGGAGCCCTGGTGCCATAAAGGGTACTTGTTAGGCTGCTACCCACCACAAGGCCGGCGGTTCAAAACCACCAGCTAGCTCTGCGGGAGAAAGACGAGGCTTTCTACACCGGTAAGGAGGTACAGTCTCGGATACCCACAGGGTTTGGGTCAAAAGGATGATGATCCCGGTCGTCTTATTAAACGCGTATGTGCTCCCAGTGTTAAGCATTGATTATACAGATGGATTGTGAGTGCTATTCTTTTTGTTTTTTTTTCCCCCCTTTTGTCTGCAATCCCCCACTCCCTGCCCCAATTTTCCTTAGTGGATGTGCATGGATTTCTTTGAGGGAAAAAGACAGCATGAAGCAGGACAATGGGGAAGCCCCGGAGTAGAGTGGAGAGGAGCGAGCGCTTGGCTTGGGCGAGCAAGTAGCTGGGCTGGAACTGACAAGGGGAGGCCTGGGGCGGAGCAATTACCTGCAGCTTCTTGTGCACCGTGGCTGCCTGGCAGGCGTCCCCGAGAGCCGCCTGCAGGGCGTGGGACACCACGTGGCGCATGCACGCCTCCGGGGTCTGCTGCGCCTCCGCGGCTTGGATCTCCAGCAGCAGCGCACTGCACACGGAGGCGGGGACCAGCTCGGGATCCACAAAGAGGAACACCCTGAGGATGGAGGTGGGCAGATGGGGAGGATTGATGGGAGATGGGCACCCCCGGAGACGTCCGCTTCCCAAGTTACACAGTGGACGCGCCCTCTTGGGATCCGCCCCCTGCAAGAGACCTTATCCTGCCTTCTGTGGTACCCAGAGGAGAATGTGTTTCATCCACCCTTGAGATGAGATGGACCGAGGGCTGGGGGGTGGGGGGAAGCTCTGAGGGTCCAAGCCAGCCTCCTCTTTTGTCTTGTTGTTCCTCAGACTTGAGGGCTGAAGGCCGCAACCTGCCGGTCACTCACCTCTCCTGGTAGGGATGCAGCTCACTTATCAGATTCTGCTCCGCCAGGACCATCCTCTGGTACAACGTGCCTGTAAGTAGACCAGGTCAGCCAACCTGCCGTCCCCTCACCTTCCACAGCAGCTGCAGAGACTTCCGGAGCTCCCGTGCAGCCTGGAGAACAAGGCACCCGCAGCTCTCACCTGGCACCGCCGTCTCTATCTTTAGCTGGATGGCGCAGTCCAAGGCAACTGTGCAGTAGGGCGTGGGCAGGGTCAGTAGCCTGGTGCAAAAAGTGTAGGTTCTCCGATAGAGCTCCTCCGTGATGCCCGTGGCCTGGGAGAGAGAATGGAGTTGGGGTGCCGGAGCTATAGCTCATGGAGGGTCCTGTGTTGGGGCAGGGTAAGGGGGGAGAGGAAGAAGGGCAGACCTGGGTGGGACTCAAACTTCTCTCTCTACTCTCCCACCTGTTGTGACCCCCCCCAAGCCTACAGCTGCCAGTCTTCTCCCAGCCCCTGGGAGACAGCTTCTCCCAGCCCCTGGGAGACAGCTTCTCCTGGTTGGCTGTCTCAAACGGACTGCTATGGATTGTGTCCCCTGCCCCCTGAATTCAAGTACTGTTATAAATCTTAACCTCCACACCTGTGGTCATAATCCCACTGGTCTTTGTTAGGTTAGTGTAGGGTGTGTCTTAAATCAATCTCTTTTTGAGGTCGAGAAGAGATTAAATAAGCAAGATGGGAAGTAGAGATGGGGGAAGTGAATTGTCAAGCCACCTGAAGATCATCCAGGAGCAGGAGCTCCAAAGAGACCAGCAGCACCATCTTCCAGAGCCGCTCCAGCGAGAGAAAACCTTTCCCTAGAGCCGGTGCTCTGCACGGTGATTTCTAGCTCCTTAAACTGTGAGAAAATAAATTTCTGTTTGTGGAAGTCACCCACTTGTAGTGTTTCTGGTACAGCAGTACTGGGTAACTAAGAACGGTACCAAGAAGCGGGGGTGCTGCTCTAACAGATAGCTAAAATGTGGACGAGATTTTAGAGTGGAGGAATGGGTCTGGAAGAGTTTTCAGGGAGGAGCCCCGGTGGCACTGTTGAGGAAGTGTTGGACTGCTAACCGCAAGGTTGGTGGTTCAAATCCACAAGCCACCCCAAGGGGAAAAGATGAGGCTACCTGCTTCCATAATGATGCGAAGCCTCAGAAAAGCGCTGCAAGTTGGAACTGACTCAATGGCAGTAGGTTTGGTTTGGGGTAATAGTGAAAACCTACATTGCCTTGAAAAGACACTCCTGGTAGAATTACGATTGTCACAGGCATTCTGGTTAGGGCGCAGAAAGGAGTGGAGAGAGCTGTAGAGAAAGTCTCGATGACTGAGAGACTATATGTCACCCCACAGCTCATCTGGTCTTCTGCCACTAGCATTCAATCCTTCAATCCTTCAACTCTATTCTTGAGATGATGGGATATACTCAAAGATGTGGTCAGCTTGATTCCTGGTAGTCCATCTGGTGAGGTCCACCTACATGGCCACCCTTTATGTTAGCGACAAATGCATCTTTGAGGAGTAAGCTGCTGGTCTTGCAGAATTCCATCACTTGCAATCCAGTGTCTTTTATTTCCAATGCATGATTTCAGTGATAGATCCTTCTGTGTTTGCACCTTCTGCATCCCAATCACCAATAATTAGCATTTGGAAGACAGGCTTGATCAATTCCAGGCTGCAAGAGTTGGAGAAACATTCTTCTTCCTCTTCTTCCATTTCGTGTGTGTTTTGTTTTGTTTTACATTCCAGCCTTAGTGATTGGTGCATACATTTGAACAATAGTCATATGAACTGATCTTCCTCGTAGGCGTATGGATGCTACCTTGAAATGTTCTTTTTACCAACAAATGTGTGTGACCCCCCTTCCTCGTCAATTGGTCATTGGCACCACAGTGGGCCATGTGATTGTCTAATTTAAACGGCTAGTGCCCGTCCATCTCGACTCACTCATGCCTAGGATGTTGGGCCCCTGCTGCCTCCCCGTCCCTGGCCTCCCACCCCCTGCGGTCAGCCCAGCTCACCTTCACGAGCACGTACATTAGTGTGTGCAGCAAGGGGATGAGGACGTGCCGGAGGTCCTCATGCTCTGCCTAGAAAACAGGAGATGGTGGCTGACTGCTCAGCAAGAGATCACCTGGCTTTCTCTGGTCAGACACGAGTGGCTGGCCTTCCAGGTAGCAACTGAGTGCTTATACCGTGTCGCACCGGCGATAAAGAGAGTTGGGTGGGAAGAGAGCTCAGGGATGAAGTCTCCAAGCGGAGGGCAGGGGGTGAGGGTGGACAGGGCTTCCTGGAGTTCTGCGGATATTGTGGAACTGACTCAGGGCAAGAGCCAGTAGTTAAGTCCCCAACCTAGAGACTCCCTGTTGGCAGTGACCCCCACCCAGAATGCTGGGGGGGATGATGGAAACTTTCAGGTGGCACAAAGATAATTGGAAAAATTGGGACTCAATATGCCCTTGTGCCTACGGGTGCCTTCTGTTTATGACAAGTGATTATGGCTTTCCACGTATGGCCATGTTAGAAGGCTCGTTTTTAAGATATGCTAATTCAAACGAAACACTGAACGAAAATAGCACCTATATAAAAATACCAGCTGTTAGCTGCCAGAGATTCAGCCCTAAGTCACGGTGACCCTATGCGTGCTGGAATAAAACACTACCTGGTTCTGCACCATGATTCATACGGTTGGTATGGGCTGATTTTCAGAAGCACATCGCCTGACCTTTCCCAATAGCCCATCTCCGTGGGAAGGCTGCACTGAAGCCTGTTCAGCACCACAAAAGCCTCCGGTGATGGGAGGGTGGGAGCTGCTCACATTGCGCACTTGCCAGGAATCGAACCCAGGTCCTTTGCATCAAAGGTGGGAATTCCACCATCGGACCATGCAAAGGGCAGGAAGGAGACAGCCTCGGGGAAGTCAGCCGTTTTGTGACTGGTGTTTCAGTGCATACAAGCGCAGGCTCCTTCCAGGTGAAAGAAAATTACACGGGGCTCTGTGACCAGTGGATGGCTGCAGACAAGTCCCCTCTGTGCTGTTAGGGTGCCTTAGATGGCTTCTGAGATGGCTGACTCCAGGCAGAGAGGTCAGCTCCAAAGGATAGGGGACTCTTGGGAGTTGGGGTTCAGGGTGGGAATTCCAAAGGAAGTTCCTTTGCTGGATTTTCTGAAAGGACACAGGGTGGCTGGTGACTGAGACATTTTAGACAATGGAAAACTGCATTGGGGTGAACCGGTCAGGAAATAGCACCCCCGCGTCTTCTCTGCTGCGTTGCCGCACTGTAAGTGGAAGAGCGTAGACTCCACTGAGGTCGGGTAAGAGAGATGGAGACGCCACCCTCAGAAGTGGGCAGGCCACATCAAAACCCGAGAGTGTCACGTCTTCTATTTTGTTTGTTTAATAAAAGTTTCTATGACTTTGTAGCGATACTTCTAACTTATCCGGATGTGTGGTAAGAATCACCAGGATGCTACACAAATGACCCACATTTCAAAGGCACAGCACCCATGGGGCCCCCATCCAATCTTTGCTGATCCCCATCTGCTTCCTCAAGAAGCCCCCAGACTCACCTTCTCCAGTTCTCGGAGCAAGATGCGGACCAGAGCCGGGCTCTTCCCTGGGTCTCGCTCCAGCTTCTTATGCAGGGACCATCTCCACATGCCTGGACCGGGAAAAAGGGGAGCCTTAGAGGGGGCATCGCTGAGCCCAGGAGCCCCACACCATGCCTTAGACTGCACTCAGGTGTGACCTTCAGCCAGAGGCTGGTTTTTCATGCCTGGGTAAGTTCCTATCTGCAGGAGTTCTAGGGGCAGGAAGCAAGGAAAGGGCATTCCGCCAGGGGCAGCCCCAACTCTACAGGGAAGGAAATGGCTCCTGCTGAAGCAATGCTCCACTGTCGCTGTTCCCGAGCCAATCGTCTGAGGGACCGGGCACTTGGGGAAGGTCGTTAAGACAGACAGTGGCAGATCCCCAACCTACAATGGTGCCTGGAGAGCTGAGCAAGGAACATAAGGTCTCCATCCTTAGGACCCCAGGCCTTTCCAGCAGGAAGGAGTTTCCTGAGACACCAGCTCCAGACTGGGCCACTGCAAAGAGCTGACGAGGCTGGTGGGGAAGCAGACAGAGCAGACGGACAGGCACCTGTGGTCCTTACCTTGATTGCCCTGCAGCGTGGGGGCCTGAGTGCTGAGTTCCCGGAGCACCGCCTGCACGCTCCTCAGCAGGTCCAGCTCCACATCTGCACGAGCGAGGAGGGATGGAGGCCACGGTCAGTGAGCTGGGCCCACCTAGCCTTGCCCTTGATCCCACTTCCGGGACCTCCTGAGAGTGTCAGGGGGTAATCATCAGAGTGGACTTGGCAGCTGGTATGTTGGCCAGTGACGGAGGGCAGCCTGTTGTTGGTGGGTCTGGGAGTCTGGGGCTGGCACCAGCTCTTAAGCACTCGACTGAAAACTGAAAGGTGAGTGGCCCCAATCCAAGCCCCCCTGGGAAAAAGCCATCTGCTCCCCAAAGGTCACGGTGAGTTGTCAATTGCTTGGGTTTGGTTGGCCTTGGTTTTATGGGTGTTCTGTGTTCTCAGTGACCAGCATTTCCCAGCATTCTGAATGTGTGCCATTAAGTGGTACCTTGGGTGACTTTAAGAGGCACACAAACAACCACAGAGTTTGAATATTTAAACACTTATTTTAATGTATACTGGGTGGGTGGAGGGAGAGACTCATCTCATTAGCTTTGGGCATGTGGTCAGGAGAGACCAGTCCTTGGAGAAAGACATCATGCTTGGTACAGTAGAATGGGTGATGAAAAAGAGGAAGGCTCTTGAGGAGATGGATTAATAGAGGGGCTTCAACAATGGGCTCAAACAATTGTGGGGATGGTGCTGGACCAGCCAGTGCAGGCTCACACTGAGTCAGAGCCTATTCAAAGGCTCCAAACGACAACAAGAAGTAGGTCTTCGTCACATCATGTGTGCCCACCTTCCCGTTACAACCGCTGAAGACAAAGCAGGTGCATAAGCAAATGTGGTGAAAAAGCTAATGGTGCCTGGC